ACACACACACACACACACACACACACACACACACACGCACACACACACACACACACCTTTGTTAAAAGAACATTATTAAGGTCGCAAAATCAAGCATTCCAGATTTAGGAAATGCCACTCTAACAGGGTGACCTGCTCCCTGGGGTGCCAGGTGGCCTGGGGCAGAGATGCTAACCTTAGGATATTTATGAAAAAAAATAGGTAGGAATTAAGGAGGTTGCTTGCAGCTCTTTCTCCCCCACTACCCTCTCATCTCCCTCCCAGCTCCCTGAAGAAACTAGGACCTCTTCCTGCCGGATTTCCACACCTCTCTGTCTTTGGCCAAAGGGAGGAGATCTGAGCCCCCAGGCCCTCCCTTGTTGCACCCCGACCCCCCCACCTGCAAACAGGGAGAAGGGGAGGATTGGCCCTGGGGAAGCTGTCCCCCTATGCCGCCTACGGCTCTTAATTACCTTTGCCAGTCCTGGGCCAGGACCTCCTTCCTGGAATGATCCATGGGAGAAACAATGTATTTTTCTCTAGCCTGTTCCTGAAAATGACTGAACTATTTAGGTTGAAATTTTCCAAAAAAATCCAACCGAAGGCAGACACCAGGCATTGAACATGGAATGGAAAATTTCAGCCAAAATGGTCAAAGTTCAGCAAAGTATTAAAACTACTGAAGACAGGGTCTTATAATGGGAAGTGTTGGGCCACCTTAACAATACCAGCCCAGCCTATAATAGATACTTTTAGAAATTCGGCATAATTATGGAAATCTTCCATCAGCCATCATCAGGCTAATAATGTAGGCCATTTTATTTGTACAGTTCTTTTAAAACATTATAAATTGAAAGTAAACACTTAATGATTAAAGTGTTTTGATACATAGATTCTCCATCATTTGCTAATACATTCTCAGTGTTTGGTTTTAGATGTTCTCATTATCTTCCATTATAACACACTTATTTCACAAGTTAATACTTACGATCAAGAGGTACTTCCAATGCAGTAATCATCTGGCACAGAAAGAGAATCAGGGAAACTCTGCTTGCAGATATGCTCTTTTTTGTCATCATTATTTTAAGATGGATTAGTTAACTCCCACTCAGCCAAACAAGACCAACTTTCTTTTCTTCTTACCAAACTAGATGTTGGAATAATTATGTAAATGTAACCAAGGAAGCTGGAAGAGAAGAATAAGAGAATAATGATGTAACAATACTACAGAGATGTTTCATCAGTAGAGAATTAGTTCATATATTATACTTAGGACTAAGAACAGTGCCCAATCTTTTGGCCTTAGAGAAATTTAAGCCACTCATCAAAGCAGACCTAAAAGCTGCAAGGAAGACTTAGCTCATGATTAAGGCTACGTTTATGTCACGGATATGATATGCTGGTGTATTCTGAGACCCCTGAGCAGCACTGCCATTATGTCCAGTCTGTCTTAGAGAGATTACAGAAGCATGATTTGCACGCCAAACTAGAGAAGTGCATCTTTGACGAGGCCACCATTGAATTTTTAGGTTACATCATCTCCCTGGAGGGCATTCAGATGGACCCGCTGAAGGCGAAAGCCATCCACAACTGGACAGCATCCCAGACTTGCCAAGAACTTCAGTGCTTCTCGGGCTTCACGAATTTTTATAGGCAATTCATCACCAACTTTTCTGAACAAAAAGCCCTCCTGAATTCCCTCCTTCATAAAGCCATTCAGTTCATTTAGTCAACTGAAGCCCAGCTTGCTTTTGACCAGCGTAAGATCACTTTCACCATAGCCCCAATTCTGGCACACACTGACCTGACTTGCCCATTTATAGCGGAAGCGGATGCATCCAACATGGCCTCAGGGCAGTACCCTCACAGAGGCTCAGACCCTAATTAGTTTTGCACCCATGTGCATTCTACTCTTGAAAACTCACCACAACAATCCTGGGGTGGCATCACCCCAAAGAGGGCCCAGAATGGGGAGCGATGGTATAAGAACCTGGAGGATTAGAACCTGGGACCATAGTGGTTCTGGGCAGCTGACACTTACACATCACCATTGGAAGCTTAGCCTGTGTTTCTGCTGGAGGACCAAGTGAAGCTAGACACTGCCGGAAGTATCATCCAGCAGGGTCTGAGTGGTGGGCCACCACCGCCCACTGATTGGCTCAAGTTAGTATATAAACCAGGAACCCATCATGGGGAGCTGTCTGAGAAGTGAGACAGACCACCTTCTTGCTTCCGCTCCAGACTGTGCCTTTCTGTGGACACTAGACTCCAGCTGCTGACCCTCATTCGTCTCCAGCTCTGCTACTTGCCTGCTGTCTGTAACCTGGTGCCTGACTGTGACTCCCTGGTATCTGGACCCAGCTCAACTCTGACTTTGCTACTCATCTCCTGACTGGTGTACACAGGCCGTCCATGGCCTGGCCCTGACAGGAACAGAGGATCTATGAATTATGTAAGTGTCCAGTGGATCAGGGCCTGGACATTCCAGGGAGATGCTCAGAGGACTCAGGAATTGGAATGTGCCTGCCGTTAAACTGTAAAGAGAGAGTGGGGACTACATAGTCCTGAAAGTCAGTGCTTGTGTTTCCAGAGACTGGTGCTGTTGGGGATCTGACTCACAGACAAGACTTCCTCATGCTAAGGGCAAGTGGTAGCAGGGTGCCTCACAACCCTGGGAAGCATCACACATACACAGAAAATAACATTAACCCTCAAAGAGAGGAAAATCTCTTGGAAATGTTTGTTTTTTTAGATAAATGTGTTTGGAGCAAAGGTAGCAAGATAGCAGCTACCTTACAAAGAGCAACTAGCTGAGATTACATAAAATAAGATGGGATATGGGATCTTGTATAACTGTAAAAACATCTGCCTAAAACTAGCTCCTCCCGGGAGAATTTCTTGGACTTGCCTTTTTGGGCAAAACAGCTCACAAGGACTCCTGACTGCAATGAACTTTTTACACAGTGGTGGAAAATAAGGAAAATACTTTTCTTTGTTTGCATCCTATTAGGGTTTCTGATGAAACTGGAAAGTACATCCCTAAATATTTGTAAAGCACTTAGCACAAGGAGGCCTCTTTCAGGATCAGGGCCCACAAGTGTTACTGCAATAAAAATATTACATGATAATTATAATTGCTTTATCACTTGCACAAGGATAATTGATTAAATGACAAATAACTACATTTTAAGTTATTACACAGGGCTGTATTCTCAGGGCCAGATTAACCCACCAGAGGTAAAATACACTTTTTGGCCCCTACCGTCTCATTAATAACAATAAACAGCCATTCAGTACACTCTCCGCAGTTGGGCTGGCCACGCTGTGGATCTGCTGGACCATTTGTTCATGTTCCTGTTGTTCAGGGGGCTGCGTATCATAAGTGATCGCAGTTCCACTCACTCAAATTTGGTCTGATCGCCCTGCTGTCAGGGCAGGTGAGCGCCCCAAGCAGCAGCAGGATGAACAGCTGGTCCCGCAGCATGGCCAGCCCGGCTATGGTGAGCAGAGTGTATGGCTGTTTGTTGGGCACCAGCCCCCACCCCACCAATGCATTTGGGCCCTAGGCATATGCTTAGTTTGCCTGTGCATTAATCCAGACCTGCATACTCTACCCTTGATCTTTGTTCTAGCTTCCCTTGACGTCAGTGTGAAGTCTGTTGTGAACTGAAATTTATATCCCAAACCACAACCAGAAGTGGAATTTGGCCCTCCTCACACAATGACTTTGACATCCATGATTTAGACCAGGGGTCTCAAACACGTGGCCCGCAAGCTGAGTTATTTCCGCAGCCTGCCAAACTCCCGCCCCCCCCCGGAGTTGTTTTCTGCAGCTGCCAAGCTCCCCTCACCCGCCACCCTCTTTCCCCCCAGTGCGCCGCATCCCTGCTCCTCTGCCTACCTCCAGGCGCTTCCCGTGGCCAAACAGCTCTTTGGCGGCGCTTAGCACTTTCCAGGAGGGAGGGGAGCCGCATGCTCAGGGGAGGAGGCAGAGAAGAGGTGGGGCAGGGGTGGGGATTTGGGGAAGGGGTTGGAATAGGGGCAGGGAGGAGGCGGAGAAGGGGTGGGAAGAGGTGGGGCAGGACCTCATGGAAGGGGTGGTGGTGATTTGAGTTTGAAATCCCTGATTTAGACAAAGCTCTCAGCGCTATGGGACCACACCCCAGACAAGCTTTAGCCTTCAGTGATTCCACTCCCCACAAAGCTTCCACCCAGATAGCCTAGCTAACATCACTCTCCCTTCAGGGAAATGCCCAACGCATGATTCTTCACTGCATGGCATTTTATGGTGTATTTATTCCTGTGCAAAGTGAGTGTAACACACTAGTGCATTGATTTGATAGCATTTTACACCTACATTGCACTCACATTGAACACATGTAAATGACTCCACATGGCATCAGGCAGTGGAGAATGAGGCCCCTAGACTGTAAATACCATTAAAACTAGTGTGAAATTGGCATCATGCAAAAATACCTCAGGTCTTCTATCTTTATTACTGCAATGATTTAATACAATATAGAATGCTGACATTCTCTGGTATACTATGGGGATTAAGCGGCATTGGGAAAGTTAATGCTGAATTTGCACTCTTTATGTTATTAAGTGTCGTATTTTATAGAGAGAAAATGCCCAAATGGTTTATGGTAGAACGTATTTAACTAATTACTCCTGTAAGTTTGACAGCACAACTTGGTGTTCTTGTTCAACATATTCAAAATGCAATTTGCTATAATTTAATATTATATGATTACAACAGCTACTGAATGTTGTTATATTATGTCATAATGTCAGCCACTACAAAATAAGACATGCCCTTATACAGATCAGTATAAATGGTTCAATTTCAGATCTCCAGTTTTTGTACAACAAATTGCCTTTTCCCTTAACCTTTTTATCAAATATCTCATAAACCAGTGTCTCCAACCTAGATTTTTCACAAGAAAACACATGAAAACAATCTTTCATAGTAAAATTTGACAGGAACAGCTGCTTCAGGAGCCATTCAATAGATTTTCAGATTATACAAAAGATTTTATATATACCACTAAAACTACTTTATGGTGGCATTTCCTGTATTTCTTGCTGACGTGTTAGTTGTGAGTGAGCTCAAACTCCATGTTAAACATGGGTTAAGGGAGACATACGCAAGCTAGCAAAATACAATTTTAGAGCCTGAAAGTTTTTTTTAAAGTATGCTTAGAAAAAAAGAATAATCTTTAAAATTGGGGGGGAAATGACTGTTCCTTTTAAAGTAAGACATAATTAAATTTGGAGAACAGGACTAGAGTAAGGGATCTGGACGCACCAATGACTCAGGAGCAGAGCACTGGGTATTGGCACAGCACACAGTGATGGTTCCCAGCTAGCCACCTGCTCACAAGGCTTCAAGTGTCTGGGTTGCTTCACCTGGGAAAAGAAAAGAAGAAAGCAAATAATCCCTTTGAAAAGAGGGGTGGGGGCTGGGAGGATTAGCACATATAAGGAAGGGGTAAACTGGGAGGTAAAATCTGGAGGACACCTCAATGTTCAATGGAACAAGACCCCGTCGAACCAAAGAGACTCAATGCCTCCCATAGATGCTATTGGGGTGGGGCAGCCACACACCACCTCCAATGTAGTCCTGTGCTGAATAGGCACAATGCACCCCTGATCTCCCAGGAAATGCAGCTGCTGTGCCATCTCTTTAGGAGAACGTCTGGTGTGTGCCATACATTGCTGGCTGGCCAATACGGTTTTGATGTACAAATATGCACATAACATCACACATACAGCCCCATCTGTTTACATCATTCTAGAGCAGAGGTGGGCGAACTTCCTTCCCGGCACTTCAGATCCCGGCCGGGGAGGCTAGCCTCTGGCCCCTCCCCTGCTGCCCCCGGTTCCCCGCAGCCTCAGCTCACTGTGCCACCAGCACTCTGGGTGGCGGGGCTGCAAGAGCCGCCGGCCTGCCCTGAAGCTCTAGACTGCGCGGCGGTGAGGCTGGCTCTGGCCGGGCAGCGTGGCTGCCAGTCCTGGTGTTCTGAGCGGCATGGTAAGGGGCCGGGGGGGTTGGATAAGGGGCAGGGAGTTCCGGGGGGCAGGCAAGGGACAGGGAGCAGGAGGCGGTTGGATAGGCATGGGAGTCCCGGGGGGCCTGTCAGGGGGCGGGGGTATGGATAGGGGTCGGGGCAGTCAGGGGAAAGGGAGCAGGATGGGGGGCCAGGGGGCGGGGGCCAGGCTGTTTGGGGAGGCACAGCCTTCCCTACCCAGCCCTCCTACAGTTTCAGAACCCCGATGTGGCCCTCAGGCCAAAACGTTTGCCCACCCTGTTCTAGAGTATTCACATTAGAGTCAAAAGTAAAGTTAGACGTGTGGAAAGACTATGACACTGCAAGAAAGGAATAATAAAAAAAATTACTGGGTTTTAGGAAAATGTGCAATCTATTACATATACTTATGAATACTGGAGATCAGGCTCAGACACTATAAATCCAAGCAAAATTACAAGTAAACTGGTAGAGTATGAAACTTTTCCCTTCCCTCTTCAGTCTAATATCTGGATTCTTCATGTAGACAAATAGATGAATATTTTAGTATAGAGGACAAAGAAGCTTTTTCAGGGAAATTCATCTGTTTTGAGCAGCAGTATATAGGTTCCCAGGGAAACAATGAAGAAAAACATTTCCACATGAGGGAAAAGGGAGTTAATAAATAGAAGCATTCAATGATTTGTACATAAAAAGCTTATACATTATAAATATTCATTATATATCACACATAGTATTTTCTGGGGGGAAAAAAGTTTAATCAAAATATTCTCTTTTGTGATTATAGCAACTCCCTTATCAGTCAAGTCCAGATCTTTGCAGGGTTTCTTTCTGTGTTTTACACAATGATTATGAAACCATCAGAATTTTTAATAGGAAATATACTTTTTATGACATATGAGCTTTTTTAAAAACAAGTCTATATCTTAAAGAAATGCAGCATTTAATATTACCTAGTATTGAAATGATAAAGCTAAAATAAAAAATTCCAGTTAGAAACAATTACTGTAATCCAAAATCTTACAAGCAAATAGAACCAGCTAACTCAATCTGATGACTATTTAAGCCATTATTGACAGAATATTAATAGTAATATTCATGGCATTTAGACAACATATATATTTTTATGGAAGACAGCATGGATACCACTGGATTGGGATTCAGGAGACCTGCCAGTAACTCAGTGAATGACTTTGGGCAACCCACTTCACCTCCCTGGTCCTCTGGGCCATCCCACCTTTTGTCGGTCTTTTCAGTTTAGATATATGCACTCCAGGCAAGAACTGTCACCCATTTGTTTTTATACAATACCTAGCACAGTCGAGACCCAGTCTTAGTTGGGGCCTCTTAAGTGTTACTGTAAAACACGTACATTATAATAAATGTATAAGATATAAACTGCATAACTTACTATGAGTCATACAAATATTGACGTGTTTCTAGAACTATTGTGCTTCCTCCAAATTATGCATTTTTGGTATGAACAATAGTTACATTGTCTTTCTCATTGCAGTTAAAACCATACAATTAGCATTAACAGAATAAAAAAAATTCACAAAATATCATACAATTTAAAAACCATTGCAAGCCGTACATCTCTGTGTTGAAGTCTCAAGAAAATAGTCCTATTCATAATGAACAAGTCACAAAAATATACATAAACATTTCACTTACCACTTCCTTCACAGCAATGATGAAAACATTATTTTCCTCTAGAGTGCAAGTTCTTTGAGGCAGGAACTGTCATTTACTATAGATTTGTACAGCCCCCAGCACAATGGACCCCGATCTGACTGCTTCTAGGGGCTACCATAATATCAGGGTAAAATAATAATAAAAATAAACCAGTTTAATTATCTATATGCCCATTCTGTTTGTGTTCTGTATCATTCTGTTGTAACTGATGACTCTGATTGCAAAAACATACAGTAAAAGTTTTGTTATCAGGCATGTTGAGGGAATAGGAGGTGCCGGTAAGTCAAAAATTTCGGTTAATTAAGAGGGAGGGAGTTTGGGTGTGGGAAGGGGCTCAGGGCTGAGGGTTGGGGCACAGGAGCGGGTGCGGGACATGGTCCCTGGCCAATGGGAGCTGCGGAGCCAACGCTTGGGACAGGGGCAGCACACGGAGCCTCTGTGACCATTCCTCCACCTAGGAGAATTGACCACAACCAGTGGGAGCTGCGGGAGCGGCGCCTGCAGGCAGAGGCAGTGCGCAGAGCCACCTGGCTGCGCCTCTCCGTACATGTTGTCACTTGAGGGGAGCTGTCCAAGGTGAGCACTGCCTGAATCTGGCACCCTGAAACCCCTCCCGCACCCCAATTCCCTGCCCCAAGCCCCCTCCCACACCCAAACTCCCTCCCAGAGCCCGCGCCCCGCACCCTCTCCCGAAATGCCGGTTTATCTCTTTTCTGTTTGTAAAGTGCCGGATAACATAGCTTTTTCTGTAATTTACTCTCTTCTCCATGGACTCACTCCTGCAATAGGCTGAGTACTCTGGACCAATACAGACTAAACTCAATGGAGCTCTGTCTACATAGGTGCCGGGATTCCACCTGCCTGGAGTTAATTACAGGATTAGGTTGCACATGTGTAACTGTTGGTATGGTTTCAAGGCAAGACTGAGGAAACTCCACAAGGTGGCTTTTGCAGAATTTTCAAAAGATCCTCTCTCCTCCGGGTGTTTCTGCGTGGAGTTGGAGACCAGGGGAAATAATTGGGCCTTTGGTTTAAAAATAAAAAAAGGATGTCAGTTCCTCTACTTCCGGCTGCTCCACACTGGCAGATCAGGAACAAGTGGTGTCAAGAGCCAAAAGCTTTTAGTTTGTTTGTTTTTCCTGACCTCCCAAGAGTCTCTGCAGGTCTACTCTGAAAAGTGACTATGTAAAAATGGCACCTTTTTACTCACCAGCTTTACGCTCTCTCACCTATCTGTATATTCGGTCATCTGTGCTGACTTCTGTGATAAAAATAATACTGCTTTTTACTTTGGTTAGTTCTGCAGAGTCTGTACAACTCAAGAAAGTATGCTCCTTCTTGTGTGTCAAAGAATTGCTTACAAAGTTTCAGTTGATTCCACCAATACAAATCTATAGAAGGCAATGACAATGCATTGGTGACACTGAGAATACAACTTGCACATGTGTAGGTGAGACACAATTTAGCATTTCTTACAGATGGGGAAGGAGGAAAGAACACAGCTTGACTCTCAAGATGGAGTGGGAGTTTGCAAGACTGGTAGTTAGGAAAATAATATTTTTACTTGTAAACTAAGCATGCTTGTTCTAAAAGTCATTGAGATATAATATACAGGCAGCCCCATGATACCATTGTTTCAGTAATTTTTTGGACTGGGGTAACATTTTCAAAAGTACCTACTTACCTTAAGCCCAGATTCACAAAGATGATGCTGAACATCATGGTAACTAACTTTCAGGTGCTTAGAAAATCACAGGAACACTGTGATCACCAAAGCCTGAATTAAATGCCTAGGTTCCTGCAATATGAATGGGGAGAGACAAGTGCCTTTGAACAGGGATTCCCAACATTTCATTCTAATATTGGTTACAATGCAGAGTGAGCAAGCTTGTAAATCAAGCCCATCTCTACTTTTACAAATGAGACTAGTCATACTGCCACTGCACAGTTAGGAAAGATATGAGGAGAAATGCTTGTGAACAGATATCCCAGCCATGATGGGTTCACTAACTAGACCCCAAGTCAGGCTGCGCTCCTGAGAAGCATGTAGACGCATGTTTTCAAGGATGTCCAGTAACCTGTGACACCACAATAGGTCTCTGGAACTTTATAACTAACTGTTGTACCTTTGCTTGAAGGAAAGCTTACACTATGGTGATAAACATGAACACCTTCTGTACATAATTGGCAGTGGAGCAATGAGTGATGAGAAGGTAAAAGGGTGGGTGTAAGAAAGAATGGTTTACTTGCTGTATGCCTCAATGGGGATTGTCTGCTTTTGGTGGTCTCATGTACTGCATAGAAAAGGACACTGGAGGTGGGGAAATTACTGTTAATTCTTTCAGTTTTTTAAATCATGAAGTGCAAAGTAAAGTCTTCCAGATTTCTGCAAATCTAGACAGAAAAAAACATTCAGCATGTGCAACAGGGCAAAGAGAGAGCACAAATGGTGCAAATGCAGACAGAAAGCTGAAAACAATATAAACATATTTGTCTCAGAACAATGAACTGCTAACAACAAAGGCACTTCATTGCCCATTCATATTATTGTGTTGAGTACTGACTATCTGCTTGGCACTAGAGAACGTAGAAGAGCCTGCCTGCCGTGAGGAGCTTACAAAGGAACCAAACAGACAATAATTCAAACACAGAGCAACCTCCTCCTTGCTGAACTGCCAGATTTTC